CCGGTCTGGCGATGCTCGTTTCTCACTGGGTCCGCGTTATGGCCAACGCTGTGCATAAATGTAACAGTGTAGACAGAAGACCCAACGCAGGAGATATACCATGTGAGTGCCACGTGATATACCAGACAGCATCTGCCCTTCACAATGTTATAGATCTTATGACCAGGGGTGTTTTACAAAATAAGCTGAAGAGCTAAGCAGAAGACAATTGCCTTATTACCTATAAAATAGGCTGAAGAGTGGATTTCCAGTGGTTTTCATCTATCTTCTGCTCCAGGTAGAGGAACAAGAGCCTTCCCAAATGAATGCGAAGCGATACCCATGTATCTGACTAAAAAATCGTTTCGCGACGGACTAAACAATTTAACATCAGATGGTGCTCCAGCTGACATCTCAACCAGTCTTTTGCATGGTTTTCAAACGAGGATTTCCTTTGTTGCGCTATGGAATGACTCGCTTTGGTTGGGGTATTCGATGGGCGTATTGCCATGACACGACGGGGCTGCGGGTTCTCAGTTAGTTGGGGACCGTCAGACCCTTTGGTACTTATGGAATGACTTGCTTTGGTTGGGGTATTCGATGGGCGTATTGCCAAGACACGACAGGGCTGCGGGTTCTCGGTAGTTGGGGACCGTCAGACCCTTTCAACATTCCAAGAATTTAGCATTAGTCTTATCATGGGTGTACATCTCCCAACGTGATTGGTGGACAGTCATGGAAGTCGTCATAGGGATACAGGCGAGAAATACGTCTTGGATTGCGTCCACTTTTGTCTTTTTAAAGGTCATATGCGTGGCCGTAGCAGTCCATGTGGAATCAGGGCAGTTTGCATCACCTTATAAACGTGCATGTTTTGTGAAACTAAAGGGGCGCAGCTGGATCTCTCTCGGTCTCTCTGTCTCTGTCTCTTCTCTCTTCTCTCTCTATCTCTCTCTCTCTCTCTCTCTCTCTCTCTCTCTCTCTATCTCTCTCTCTCTCTCTCTCTCTCTCTCTTCTCTCTCTCTCTCTCTCTCTCTCTCTCTCTCTCTCTCTCTCTCTCTCCTCTCTCTCTCTCTCTCTCTCTTCTCTCTCTCTCTCTCTCTCTCTCTCTCTCTCTCTCTCTCTCTCTCTCTAAGTAAAATCTGTGCAAAGCTCACCATTATCTGCCTTGGTAAGATTTGCGCATTTGGTTTGGTATTCACAAGAAAAGTGTTCACACTATATGTAGGTATTACAGCCCATTCTCGAATCAGGTTCTTGACACACCAAAATATCATCTATAGCGCGTACGCATTTCAATTAAATCAAAAAATCATCAGCGCCACTCATTTCATTATTTCAGAAAACGGTCCGAACACAACCTTTCCCAAATAGGCTTAGGCAAATGCCCTACTGTTGAGAATGCCACACTTCCACTCGTTTCAGTATCCACGCATTGCAAGCTTGCTGTACTTCTGGGGTAGACTGTTCCAAGCTGATGTGTCTCTAAAGCGAGAGCGAGGCTCACACGCTCCAGTTTGAACGTAGGGAAAATAAAACGCTTGTCATGCCAATGTCATGCGCATTGCAGATTGATTATGGCAGCGTTTCTAGTTAAGCTGGCGCTTCAGCGACCATGCAATTATATTATGTACGCATACTCGATGCCGAATGAGGTCACCCATGCGTGACCAATGGCAGAGTCTTGGTAAAGAGGGGGGGGGGGGGGGGGTACAGAGTAAGCAAAGGGTGCAGTTTTTGAAAGGCTCCTAACCAACAAAAAATCGTCGCATAAGGTGCACTCGATATCGATGGGCACGATTTTCTTCGCATATTTTTTATTTACCTCTTTCGACTGAAATAGAAACCAGAAGGCACCGAATGATGCCAATATCTTTCATTTTTAAGCCCATATACTAAAGGAACCGGTCGTTAAATGACTGCACAAAATAATCCACCCACACTTTTCGTTTTACAATGGGTCATTAGACCCTTTCTAAACCGTTAGAGTCAGGGGCTTCGCCGGAACTTATCTGGGTTGTACAGAGACATTGTGAACATAGATGATGGAGAACGTATATTGTGGATCGATACTGGTCAGAAATTTGTATTGACATGGCCAACTGATGTCCGTCTGTGCATAATCAACCGTCGCTCAAAATCAAGAAATGGAAATGTTACATGTCGTAGTTTTTACCATGCACGCTCGCGAGCCTTAAAAACAAATGTACCCATGTTCGGCGTTGCAGTCTCCATAGGCCACACGTCGTCAGCTCTACCGCAAACACTGGCCTACAGCCGGCGGACTGCCAAAAACGACAGCGTTTCTGAAGGAACTACCCTTCAGCACTTAAGAAGGCCAATTCGAGCATTTCAAGGGTGTTCCGAAAGCATACTTCATCAGTGCAAATATTAATATGTATAAAAGGAACAGATTACTATTCACAGCCCAACGAATCGGTGCTGAAATTTGGCGGTGGAACCAGAGAAGGATAGACGGAGTCCCGATTATCGTGTTTCTGCCACTCATTTTCTGTTCAGGGAGAGTCTCAAAATTATACAGGCGAAACATACACCCCTGCCTAATTTTTGAACGGGACGACTTAACCTTTAAAAACCTTCCGAAGCGTCGTTTCAAGATGGCTCTTCCGAGAGCCAGGCGCCCGGTGTTAGCTGCAGCAACGCGGCTTGATGGGGGCTCTGACGCTGAACATCGCTGGTCCTGCTCCTATGGTTGCGAGCATGCAGGCTCAAACATTTTCATGTAATTTTTAATTTTTCTTAGGTGGATTTGAACAAGGATGGAGGTCGTCGTTTGTACAAGCGTTTTCATTTCGATCTATCACATTGAACATTAAGAAAATCTCTTATCTTTTCCAGGCAAGGTCAGGTGGTAGGTAGAACACTGGGGACATCTTGAATTTCGCCGTCGAGGGCTAAAGGGCCATTCCGTTCAAGCGTGGGCTACCTGCCGTCCGCGTGCTGGTGATATTGGGGCGGGGTCCCCTGGTCGATGCGACAGCCCTTAGAGAGATTAATCATACCTTGGTCGCCTGCCTGACACAGAGCGCCGCCTGATCCAGACATTTTGCTCCGGATCGGCGCAGGGGCCCTCATTTATGCGATAATTTCCTTATCGCCGTTTGTGTCTAATAATTGGTGCAGAGAGCCCCATTCAACGTAACGGACCCCCAGCTGAAGGCCAAGACCAACCCAAGAGGCCCCTGACATGTGGGGACCCGTCTTTGTACCTGGTAAGCACATGCTCCCCTGGCCGAGTCGACTGTTAGGCGCTGTAGGCCCCTGACCGGCTCAGGGGCCCTTATTTTTTCATGGGCTCCGACCATTGTGCACCGCGGTTTCCGGCCTTGTCCCTGTTTGGAAAATGGACCCCAGGGCTCAGACCGACATGAACCTGACTTTTCAGTGTCGGTGGTCTTTGCCCAAAATAGGGGCCCGAATTATCTCAGTGTGTCCCCAGCCGGTGTAGGAGGCCTTCTAACTGACCTTTGGGAGCTTTGTCCTACGGGTCAGGCCATTACTGTCACCTACAGCCAGCCCTTTGGGCTCTCCAACTGGGCACTTCCGAGGGGCCCTTCGAGCCCCTTGACGGACCCCCGAACGTTATACCAGGGCTGACTCTGGGCTCCTTGGTAATACAGGACAGATATAGGTAATAATACGATAGGTAATACAGGTTAATACAGGTTAATACGATAGGTAATACAGGTTAGACACTCTGGCCCCTGTCCGACACAGAGAGCCCTCATTGACTGAGGGACCCGGCCAATGTAATTCGCGGGCCCTGGTCTTGTTCACGCTTGGTAACTGGGGCCTCAATCCCAGACCTGCCGCTGAAGTAATCGGATGCCAAATACATCGCGTGTCACGATCGTTAAGTCCCGTTAAGCCTCGTAAGCCACATCCTTGTAGCTTGGCAAAATCGGCTTGGAGCGCTGAGCGGGGAAAACCCCACTCTAAATAAACAATAGACGAATGCCATCCCGGATTTGACCGAATTTCCTATTCACGTTATAGAGGTGGGGTTCTCCGTAGCTTAACAGAAAGCCACATCCCTGCTGCAGTGTATTTCCTCGCTCTGTTTCAACGGGAGGTGTTGTTGGACATCGATATCACATTGTTTGCCGTTGATCGTCGAAGCCCCGTTTTAGTAATCGACATATGACCGATGTTATGTTAGTTCAGACGTTATTGGACGCGTGCGGTTTCGGGAAAGAGAGTGTAAGTTGACGTCCGCGACTATGAAAGTCTGTCGCAGAGCCCCTGGTCGATAATTGCAAGGCGGGGAGTGGGCTGCAACGCAACACTCTTTGAGGCATGTTCGAGACGGCTGGTGTTGAGTTGGTGGTCATTGTTTGATGATTATGTCGCTGGCGGTCTAGTCGGTTGGTCGGCTGGTGCTGGGCTGTAAACAGCTCAACGTTATTGCGCCCAACCTATAGCACCTGACCGACTCTCGTGCCTCATGACTCTTGACGTTCCTGTAACATCGCCATGTAGCAAAAAATCAGCCTCCCCTTCCCATAACAAAATAATTATTTCACCGGTAGGAAACGCTGCTCATTATAAAGTAGGTCCGAGATAAGCTATTTCGAGGGGAGGAAGAGGTGGGGTGGGGGTAAGGCACTCCCAGCGAACACTTTCTCCCTCACGGTACGGGACGTACCTAGCTGAATGAATTTTGCGCGTGTTTTCTACGGCGTGGGCGCGGACGAAACAGCCCTGTTTTGTGTTGTCGTTTGAGCCCGTGTGTGCTCCAAGCCACGCATGCTGTCAAATCTCATAGGAAGAATCGAGTACAAGGCACCCGACATCACGCACCTAATCAAGCCTGTTGGTAAGCCCGCGAGGCGCTGGGTGCGCACAGCCACCTCATCACGGCTGTTGGTAAGTCTGACTGTGTTGGTGGTGGACGACGCGAAAGGCTTGGCACGGCGCGCGCCGCAGTGTCGGCAATATTTTGACTCTCCGTCAGCAGGCCAGTCCAGGCGTGCGCTGTCCGCCAGAGACGCCACACCACGTCCTAATGCCGTTTATTTTGCGCCTGCATTGTGTTCGGAGCACGCGTCTGGCACCCAGGTGCGACGCACGTGATGAACTGGAGACAGTGAGCGGCATAACGTGCCTAGCAGGAGAGCGCTACATCACCAAAAAGCGCTGCACTGAAACGCCCTGCATCACGAGCCAGGAGGTGCAAGAGGCAAGCACATTATGTATACAAACACGGCACTGCACTAAAACCTCAAGCATCATAAGCAAGGAGGTGCAAGAGGCAAGCACATCATACAAACACGGCACTGCACTGAAACTCATCACGAGCAAGGAGATGCAAGAAGCAAAACATCGTACAAGTATGTTGGTTGAGATGCAGGCAGCCTGTCTTACATATCGGTTCGGGAGACATGCCTTAGTTATGGAGCCAGTCTGGACGCTAAGCACTAGTTCCAAGCCGCAAACTATCTAGCACTCACAACTATGACACCAGCCCTCATCCAGTGAGTGGAATCTTTCATGCATTAAAACAGCTAACTGGGAATGTTGCAGGGGTCGATTTCGGTAGCAAAGGCATTTCTTTGTGATATTTTAAGTCCACAGACAAATATGTGCAAAACACTTCCACTGATCTAAGCGCAAGCCGTCCTAATATGTCATTCATTGGCGAAATATATGTATCTAAAAATAAGACACAAACAGCCAGCCCATCACAAAACAAGCGCATCAGCTAGTGCCCCGTACGTCTCCGCCATCCCTTCAGCAGCCTGGTAGCGAAGCTGACAGGCTGCCCCGGTCCAGTCCGCGTGCCGTGCCGTGCCGTGCCGTGCCGTGCCGTGCCGTGCCGTGCCGTGCCGTGCCGTGCGGCCGAGTCCGCTCAGCCGTTCTCGTGTTGCCGCTCGGCTTGGTCGTCGTCGCTGTCGTCGGAGGGGGGCGCGGCCGGGCAGGGCACGCCTGGCTGTAGCATGACGGCCACGGTGGCCAGGTCAGCCGGGTCCACCAGGTCAAGCGGCCGCTGCCCGTCGGCGGTCACCAGGCGAGGGTCGGCCCCGCTCTCCAGCAGGTACCTGCCGACACCAGCGGTCACAGGGTGTCACCAAACTGCCAATGCCAGTGGCCACATGGTGTCACCACACCGCTGACACCAGCGGTCACATGTCACTACACTCCTGAGACCAGCTGCCAGCGACCACGTGACTGCAGACGAAGGGGACCTGTGGCTTCGTGGTTGTGGGCGCACAGGAATTCGTGACCACGTGACTATGCGACTGCACACGGCTCAGTCATTTACATAAGTAAGAAACATAGTTATAGGAGCTGTCAGGCTCACAAAAGGTAACCGTCACGAACTGCACTGCCATTCCATTTGGGCTGCATGCATACGGTGCGCCAGCAGCAGTGCATTCCTCGCACGGACGTCTCATATTACAGGCTTGCCTTTGATACAAAACCACCTGGGAAGCGATGGCGCGAAATGAGGCAAAATGATGGGAATTGTCGCAGGGCATTGACGTCAAATAATTGATACAGCTTTAATCATTGCCTGCGTTACCACTGGAACGTTCCATTTCATTATAAGTGAGTTATTGGCGAAATGTGATATTAATTGCGAGCGGTACGCATGGAAGAAATCCCACGCGTGTCAATCGATTCCTGGATCTTCCTACACGGTCTGACGAAGTACTGCGATTGCAGCTGCTTAACTGTTGCCTGTTACATTTAATATAATGTATGCCTCTAACTGAGGTGTAAAACGTGCGCTGTTCAGCAGTTATTGGCAGCATGCTGACCGGCGGCCAACCAAAGAACAGGTTTTTGAAAGGCACTAGCCAGTTACCACGGTGCGTTGTGCTAGGACCAGAATTCCGCTAATCTGCCTAAGGTTTATATGACTGGGATCACGCTGGATTGTCATGAAATGAATAACCCTCGTCCCGAAGGGAGGGGGAGGGTGTCGATATGACCTCCCTCCCTAAGCTCTATTGTGGATGCCTCTCTGGTGTGTTATTCAATCGCGCCAAAATTTTCAGAAGCCAAGGGTATCAATTCCGCGTGTTTTGACACAAGCAAACGTATTTCTAACATTTCTCCGTATAGAGCAGTGGTTTTTTAGAAACACTACAGCACGATCTACAGCCGGCGCGGCCGGAGGGCGGTAACCGACGCTGCCACGGAACGCGCGCGTGGGGGGGCACATTGTTATAGCCATGCATCATAGATATATGGTAAAAACACATAAAACCAAGCACTATTATAGTGAGAATTGGACAAGGATCGCGCCTGTTTAGTCAGTTTGTGTCAGTTGTGTTTGTGTCGCAACAAGCCATGGTCACGTACGTATAAGTCTGTAAAGTTGAAGTAGTGAGGTTTTCCAGAAAGTTTTTGTCTTTCATCTGGCATAATGGGGTCCGTTGTGGACCTAGTCATAAACAAATTATTACCGACCGCGTGATTTCGTTCTCATCAACTCGCCGGTGTTTCCTGCTAAGCTATATCTTTCTCAGTTTGGAAACGGCTAGCGGTGGCCTCGCCCCCATCAGTCCGCGTAATAAAAAACAACGAATCAGGGCGAGGGGCCAGACATTTTCAACTCTAATGAAAACAGAAAACATATGTTTAGGCAGAGGCGTGCTTCGTTGCTATTTTTTTGAAGTGCACCACCCCTCCCCTTCCAAATCTTGATGATTAAGTCTATAACATTGATGGATAAGCCCATTCAATGTATTTTGGAGATACCTTCAGCCATTTTCTCAGTTGAGCTCCCTTTCATCTGCCCCCGCCGAACTTTCTGTGCGAAGCTACACGTACGTCCTTTACGATTACGCTCCGACGGTACAACCTATCCGAAATGAGAACACGGTGCTCGATGGTCGGTGTTCGATTTTTGCACGGCGAACCCCTATTACGAAGCGTTTATGACAAAAGTAGCAGGCGGACCGCTTAGTTTTCATTATGCACGATATTCACGGTAGATAAAAGCATTGATGCTAACCTTGTCGCCAGGCGGCTACGTGCCAGGCGACCGACGGTTTATGGCCAATAACAGCACTGATCCACAGCAGCGTGATCGCGATACTCAGCAAGAATGAGGCTTGATACCCGGCCAATTTGTGTCCCAGTCCATGAGCCTCTCGGTTAGATGTACATTGGAGAGGAAGACTGCTATGCTCGACCGCAGACGTAAAACTATAATGTTTAATCCCGGTCAAGATTAAGTGGAGGAAAAGTAAAGCCTGGAGAGACGAGCAAAGAAAAATGAAATTAACGCAAGCAATACACTAAGAGAACACCAATGTTATGAAAAAACGCCACGCTGTCCAGTACGTTGTATTTTGGTTTGTTTTGCTAGTGGAACGCTTCCTGTGGCCTAATCATGGGAGGCTGAAACGAACACGCTGCTGACAAGGAACCATGTGACGAACTTTCTTTTAAAAGCTGAGGTGGATCTGGGGATCGGTCACGGTTACCAACAAAATTCAATTAAAGCAGCGATTAGGAGCGAGGTGGCTACGGCTTCCGAACTCTATCTGGGCCGGGGTACTTTGACTATACTTCAGCAAACTGGGCACACTGTGGATGTCAGCCACGCATGATGGCTGAAGACATTTGAAAAGTCAAGAGAAGGCATCGGGAGACAGTGGGAGACCTCTATGACATTTTTGTGTCGGTGGTTGGATCAAATGTACGGGGAGCAGTTCACGTACACGTTCCAATAATTGAGAGCAACAGAAGCCAAGGCAGTTCTTCTGGCCGACCGGCGTGGCCTGAGGACAAGAGAACCGCTGCAGCAGGTCTGCTGAAGACAAGACGGCCGCCGTCTGTGGAGTGGTTCTGTAGTGACAAGACATGTAGCGTCCATGACGACTGTGGTTGCGACATCCTACGAGTATCGCCAGGAGCTTCGCGCACGCCACAAATAGGCTCAAAACCACCGACCAGTGCTACTCGATTTGGCATTTCTAGCAGACCACCACCGTGGACGACAAAAACTCGTTTTGGAGGTCAGCAACCGGTATCTACCATACAAAAAGATGTAACTGAGTGACGGTGACGGTGATGAGACGGTGATGCCAACCCGTTAGCACTGTTGAAAGTATCGATGGAAGACACCGATGCGATAAAACGACCGATAAAGACGCTGTTACTATACATTCACCAGCTGACGCCACATGAAGTGCAGCGTCCCGTTGCCACGAACACGCCAATACAGGGTCATCGTAATGCGGCATGAGGGCCGCATGGCTCGCATTCCGCGAGTCTGTAAAAAGACGTGAAATAGCAATGACAGCCATTGGCATACTGCTTCTTTTGGATCTTCATTTTGGAATCATGTGTCTTTGTTGTAACTGTTATACCGAACTACTTTGTCCGATATCTCAAAAACCCGTTAGATAGTAATGCAGCTGCGTGTGATATGGCATGACAACAACTGGCGTCGTTTCCGCGACTTATTATTTGGCATAATTCTACGTGGAGTTGGTCGAAAATTCACATATTTGGTGCAAAAGCTTAGCACGCCCTACATGTGTTTTTCATGTTCGTCATACGAGGGAAGTAAGCCCCCTTCACGTCCCGAAAGCCAAGCAACCTGAAGCCGATGGGAAGTGTCAAAGTGTGATGGAAAGCCCTCAAATTGTATCACACTGCATCGGATGGGGGTAGCTGAACGATGTTGACTATAACCTCTACAGGTCAAGGTAGCAGTTCACATACCTCTCCTGTCATCTAAAATGCTAAGCATGCTACAACTTTACGTAACACAGTGTTAAATAGCTTTTGGAAGACTTGATCATTTGGGAACAGGTGGACATCGAAGGCTGTGATCTGTGGCATGTCATATCAGGTCATGCATTGCCTCGTCGGGCTGCATAAAAAACTAAACAAACATTGTCAACGGGAAAGTGATTGTAGAGAGATCGACAGCGGCAAGATAATCAAAGGCTGTCAAATGAAATTTATATTGTGTCATTGTGATTCAATGGCTACAACAATAAACAAAACGAACATGCTTTGGGCTTTGGATAAACTGAATTCACAAAAGCAGCACAAAAAACTCTTAAAAGCATTAAATTCAGAACAGCAGTATACAACACCTTTTTAGCTTGAACTTAGCATGAAAATAATCGCTATTTGTTGCGCTTGGCTAACATGCCAGACACCTCGAGATCGAGGTCAACGACTAGTCATCCTCCAGCTCAGAAACTTAACCGCAAATGCGTGATGTGCACTTGGCTAGTCAACATTCAAGCGTCATTATCAGAGCTGTTCAAAATTATTCCGAAAAGCCTTAGAGAGGCTCTGAGACCCTGGGCGAGGTGTACTAACGCGTGAGGTCAGTAGAACCGGGTTCGTGGATCATAGCTAGCGTGTTGCAGGGCGGACAAATCAAATATGCCATCGAATGATGAGCAACATCGTGCAAGACAAAACAAATTTAGTTAAGAAAATTGATGACTAATCTTAGAAAATATACTAAGGACATTTTTTTAAGACGAGAAGTTTAATGTACTTTGTCAGTCATGTTTCTGAAGTAAAATTCCGCCAGCCTAATTTTCATCACGATGTTGCGAGAGAAATGCATGCGTCAGAGAATGGAGCGTCAGCCGGTGAGCTGAATGCGTTGATCGCGAATTTTGACATTGGTGTCTGTATAAAGGGCTTCCGGTCTCTTCGCGTTTCACGCCAGATACATTACACCAATAACAGCGCCTAATAGCGCCCTAAAACGGACCGTTTCCTGTGGACACCAATGGCCGGAGGTTCCAGCCTGAATAGTAAGGAATAGTGCTGAGGGTTTATGGCGCAAGAGAGGGGAGGGGGAGGGGGAGGCTGGACTTACTTAATACTTTACTTGTTGGGCCATGCCTAGATAAGGTAGATTCACTTGTTTATGCGTAGCAGGTTGTTTTGATCCTGTCTCTGTCCTTTCAATTGTATTCTGGACTAGAAGCAGCGGACGAAACGTGAACGATGTGCTGCGTCCAGAGGGCACGGTTCAAATGACCTGAGGAGAGATGCCGGGCTCCTAACCCACCGGTAATGGGTACGAATCTCCGGACGGGAGCTATTTCACACAGCTGGAATTCGGCCAGAGTTCCCGCCTGGTCTGAGGTGGCAGTGTCGGGACACTGTATGATATGCTAAGCATACTAACTGGCGAGGCCGAGGGCATAAGTATCCGATAAACTAGAAAAAAACGTTTTCGGGTGAATGGTGTATGGCACATACCATAAGCTTCGTTTACAAAGTGGCTTAAACTTAAATCGCTCGTAAAAAAACATTCAAGCTATAAGTTAAACAAAAATGTGAGAGGTGCATTAGCAGGGGTGGGGAGCATGCAATATTTTATCCTAGCTTAAGAGGGACCGGTGAAACCACCGGAGAGGTGAGTATTAGCACAAAATGACGCGAATAAAGATGATGGAACGAGGAATACCAGTTAGGAATGCGACCCTATTACCAAAGCCCGGCCGCTGCACTGGCACGCATTTGTACATTGGCCTAGCTCATGCCATGCTTCACCTTGGGTCAGCATTATGCACTGAATGGCATAGTGTTGCCAAGCACGTAGCCAAACCTTCCCTCAGCCGGGGGGGGGGGGGGGGAGGGGGAAGGGGGAGGGCAAATGGCTACGTCCCTGAGTGCTGCGAGGACCTCTTTTCATGTCGCTCGGAGCAAGCACCGTAACATGAATAATCGCTCGGTGGAGAACGTAAATATTTTCCATTCCCATTTCTCCCAGTTGTACGCATCTTTAAAACTGAGCGCGAAATTCCGCTTACTTTTCCACTGTCACTGATGGCCTTTGCTTACTTCAATGTCAGCCATCGGTCATTTTCTCAACGAAGTACCTAATGTGGGTAGTCAGTAAGATACTTTGCTTCCCGTATAAGCCACCCATGGGCGCAAGCTAGAACTCTACAAACGGAAAAATATCCGAGTTGTCAACTCGATAGAAGTAAAAAATAGTCCCTAAGCTATGATTTGGTTGGCTTTGGTTGTTTGGATTAGAGCCCTTACGACGAGAAATGATCATTTCAGGTCTATGGGATGAGGGAGAATGGTTAACAGTGGAAATGGACTACATGCGCTTGAAGGGCCAACCGCCGCCGGCGCTGACACCCCTCGGAGTGTGTGCTGGGCACCCGGACGGGGGGCCTCCCCACCTACCCACCTACGTACCCAGGGGGCCTCTCGGCCCACTCGCGGCTGACGCATGCAACCTGCCACGGATGAGCGGGGTGCCGCGAGGATTCAGGATACAGAAAGAAAAGAGAATAAGAGTTTCAGGTGGTGTTCTGTAGGGAGCTTTGGAGTGACTAGAGCCTCCGATTTCTGGAAGGGACGAAGCCGCCATGGCCAAGTCCACCCAACGCGCTAGAAAATTTCGGGCTGGGACCGCGAATGCACCTAATCACGTTTGATAAGATTCAGGTAAATATGCTTCGCTCGGCCATTATAGCAGTAACATAAAGGATAGGAACATGTCACTAGTGACTCGCGAGGCGATGAACTAGGCACCGGAAGGCTGTCACAGATGCTTAGAATCGCTCGGAGCGCTGCATGCATACGAAATAACACATGATATTGTGCCACGAGGATGTTAGTGTTAATGAAAAATGGTGTAAAGTGATCCTATGAATATCGTAATGTATGACATTTCGAATGAAGTAATCCTAATCCACATGGTGCCATGGTTCCCTAAAAGTATGAGTAGGTACACTGCCTATGAGAGACAGAACACTTCACTTCCCCTGGTGGCCAATACCCGAAACTCTGCTACCAGACCTGGCCACGTGATGGTGCCCCATGGCGCAGGCGGCGTGGAGCGGTGTCCAGGTGTCCGTGTCCCGGCAGTTGAGGTCGGCGCCGAACCGAGCCAGGATCCGCACCACCGGCAGGTTCCCGTCCAGTGCCGCCTGGTGCAGCGCCGTCAGCCCTGGGGAAGCCAGCAGGGTCCGGTCAAAATACGGCCGCAGCGCGAGAGCACGAATTGTGTGGGCTCGGACGGCAACCACGAAGGCTTTATAGTCAAATCCACCATGATTTTCCTTCCTCTTCCATCTGCATTCCTTCCTCATTATCGCTTTATCCTGAATTCCCAAAATGGTCCATTTATGCGGGAGACTGTAACTGTATGTGCGAGACGTAAGTGGGTTTACGTGTTTCCTGGAGCCCCATCCGAGTGCCCAGCACAGAGTCCAGCCATCACCCGAACACCAATCCAAATGCGGTGACAAATTATTCTCGATCTGAGGAAATGCCAGCCATCGATCCCGCCCTAGATTGGTTCGTCAGTGCTTAAAGGCACTAATGTGTGAAGAATTCCATTAAGGAAGGAGCACAACCCCCTCAAGAAGGGCCACGACAACGCTTCACGCGAAACATGGTGCGGAAGGCAGGCAAAACTTCCAGAAACCACATGACACATGTGTCGAAAACTTCAACAGAACTTGACACGTGTCCACGAGACCTCCCAAACCCGTCCCTGCTCGAGAGCTTCAGCAGCCAGCCAGTATCGATGTGCTGTCTTCCTCTTCGTCCATCCTCCATTTACAGTACCATCCTTAATGTGCAATATCATACACTATTTCGCATACATGGTGCTTTCCGATCGATTCAAAGCATCTGTAACAGCCACCCGTCGGCTGGCCCATCGCCCCGCGAGTCATCTGTAACAGCCACCCGGTGCCTGGCCCATCGCACCACGAGTCATCTGTGACAGCCACCCGGTGCCTGGTTCATCGCCCCGCGAGTCATCTGTGACAGCCGCCCGTTGACTGGTTCATCGCACCGCGAGTCATCTGTAACAGCCACCCGGTGCCTTGCCCATCGCACCGCGATTCATCTGTGACAGCCACCCGTTGGCTGGCCCATCGCACCTCGAGTCATCTGTGACAGCCGCCCGTTGACTGGTTCATCGCCCCGCGAGTCATCTGTAACAGCCACCCGGTGCCTGGCCCATCGCACCGCGATTCATCTGTGACAGCCACCCGGTGCCTGGCCCATCGCACCGCGAGTCATCTGTGACAGCCACCCGTTGGCTGGCCCATCGCCCCGCGAGTCATCTGTGACAGCCGCCCGTTCGACTGGTTCATCGCACCGCGAGTCATCTGTGACAGCCACCCGTTGGCTGGTTCATCGCACCGCGAGTCATCTGTGACAGCCGCCCGTTGACTGGTTCATCGCACCGCGAGTCATCTGTGACAGCCGCCCGTTGGCTGCTTCATCGCCCTGAGAATCATTAGTGACATTTTCCCACCCTCCATGTTACTGCAATAACAGCCGAACGAAGCACACCCATCTGAAACTTCTCAAACCTTAAGCGGCCGCCAGACTTCTGTCAAACAGGACGATTCGGGTCGTCTGAAGTCACACCTCAATGGCGTGACATGTTTAAGCGGTGGCGCCCTCCTGCTGGCTCCTACGTCACCCAGTTGTCACGCGATACGCCGCACGTCATGCCAGGCCTCCAGAGCGCACCGCCCTCCAGTGAGCTCTGTCTGGCTGGTGCCTTTTTATCGACTGGGTGCAGTGACGCGCCCAAGGCGAGGCACGGAGTGGTCCCTGATCGGCCGGGACCTGGGCTGCAGCTCTCTGAGCCTCCTCGTGCGCAGCACTCCCTCCTGCCAGCTGACAACTGATGTGGCTAGCCGTGGGCAAAGTGTAGCAGCAAGATCCAACATGTTCGTTGGGAGGGGGGGGGGGTGAGCAGATTTAACCTGACACACAGGTAAAAAACAAAACCAAAAAGGCCAGCTATGCCGGGCTCAAATGTTGTAATTGAACGCTCTTGGCCTTTGCCCTCTCCTATGCAACCACTTCACTACCAGACAACCTTCCTTGCCAAATTACACTTGCGCTCAACAAAATCCTATCACGATCCATGCAGACTCTCGCCGCCCGCCGAGGGCTTTGTCACCCGCGTGACGAAGCTGGCGGGTATCTATCCGACAGAGGCTGCAGCCCACCGCCGCGGCTTCTATGGCGGTCAAATGAAGCGGCCTCTTCAGCGGGTGGCTCACCATCAGTGTCATCACGGCTGCAGGCGGCCGTCCATTGTACACAGGGGTGACGGTGACAGTGTATCGATGCGCCACGTCTCGACGGCCTCTCGGGGGACCGGCGGTCAATGCCGCCGGTCAATGCATGATTAGCGTGATTGTGTGGTGCCGTCTGATCTGCCGTACAGGTTGCAAAGGTGGATTCCATCTCATGAATTCTCGGCACCCGAAACGCATTCCAACGTAAAGGTAATCATAACTTTTCTTACGTCAGCAACGTTCAAATGACCATCTGGAGGGACATGAGATGCACCCGACAAACAGTAATTCGGCAGAACACAATTGCCCGTCAGCTAGTTCCTTGCTTATTTGGATTAGAGCCCTTTCGACCAGTAATGATCGTTCCAAGGCTATGGGATGAAGAAGAATGAACAACGGTGGGGCAGGAATACGTAGGCCTGGGGGGAGAGCCACCGGACCTTAGCCCGCGCAGGGACCCCTCTGCGGGGTACGCACCGGGCGCCCGGTCTTCGTCGCTCTCCAGAGGGCCTCTCGGATCACTCGTGGCTGGCGCACGCATCCTGCCTTGGATGAGCGGGGCGTCGCGAGAACGCAAGACAAAGCCAGAAAGTGGATAGGAGGGTTGAATTCATATGCCAGTTCCTTTTAAGCCGGCATGAGACCGCATGCGGCAAGCCACAGGTCCGCTGGCGTAACACATGATGTAAGCCTAGCGTAATGTTTGGTACAGTATCGGCATCTTGAGACGTCACCAAATATGTGATGATAGCCAGCGTCATCTGCGGCAGGTCCATGGTACAACACGACACTGCACTGACCGCGTTTTCATGCATAAATCTGGCGGAATTCTCGCGTTTCTGGCGGAATTCTCGCGTGTTATTCGCCAACGTATCTCCTCTGAGGCGGTGGGCGTCCGCACCGGGCCGGCGGCGCAGAGACAAGCCCAGGCAATAAAGGCGGATCATGCCTGATACAATGTCGTGTTCCGCGTCATTTACGGAGTCCGTGCAAATGGATTATGACCTTATATAGCCTGCATGAAATCAGCAGCAATGAGTCATTGCAAAGCCCCACCTTAAACGACCGTTTTGCCTGCAAACCAGGCGATCGGACAATGACACTTCAATGACGGGCTCGGGCCTCCACCAGCGGGAGGACCACACATCCTCACAGCCCCTCATGCATTTGATTGCGGCCCTAGAGTAGAAGCAGTATTGTGAATGGTCGCAGCCAGTATTTTCTTAATGGGGGGGGGGGGAAGCTCATTAAGTACACATCAGGCCGATCTTAAATTTTCAAGGTTCGTAGGAAATTACAACAGTCCGCCCCCCACAATGGGTTCAGATGTTCGGGCACAACAATCTAAAATGTTCTCATTGCGGCGTAGCATAACACGGATAACGGATATATATATACATATATATATATATATATACATATATATATATATATATATATATATATATATATATACATATATATATATATATATATATATATATATATATATATATATATATATGGATAAGACATCATTTTGCTGATACCCAGCCACGAAAAACGGTACGTCCAGCGGCAGTGCCATGGGTTTTGAGCTGGGAGCATGATTTTTCTGGGGGCATCCTGGCCAAAATTGGGCCTTCCCATAGGGAGCCTCCTGGGCAGTGTCGTATTCAAGGGGAAGGGTATGCAGGCTTGTGACGTGCTTTCAAATTGCTGCATGTATCACATCAACGTAAATACATGTTGACAATGAAAACATCCAGAGCGAGGGCTTTCTGATTATCCAGGAAAGGGCCTCACTATCTTAAAACATGGGCCGCCTGTTCCGGAAAAGGACATCCTGATATATAAAGGGACCTCCTAATCAGGTCACTAAAACAGAATGCTTCTGATTCACAAAGGGGGTCTCATATTCTAGCCAAGAGTCTCGTTATCCCGAAATAATGCATTCCGACCAGGAACCGCGGCCATCTGATGCATGTATGAGGTCCCCTGTTCCAAAAATGGGTCTCTTGAATATAAAGGGTACCTCCTAACTCAGGTCAGATATCTCTTAATTCGTAACAGGGGTCTCTCGGGCCAGTAAACGGGTCTCCTTGAAATAACATCCGGCTTAGTCTCACTAATCTAGAGCAAGGGCTACCTAGTTCACAAAGGTAGTCCCATAATCCAGAAAACGGGCCTCTTGATCTGAAAAGGACCTTCTGAGCCCGATTTATTAATTTCTGGCTCAGCTTTAAGTGTCGCCTTGATTTGAATCTTGGAAATATACCGTAGCTACAATGCCCTTTGGGAAAAGGCGCCCACCAACAATTTTGTGGCGGCAAAAACATATTCTTGTCTCACCTGCCTGCCAGAGCAGGGGAGGGGAACTGCCCCCTCTGTTCGACCCCCCCCCCCCGCCCCTCCCCCTCCGCTGCGCCGCCCCTGGCTACGTCAGAGAGTTATCATTCAATATTTGTCAAACAGACAAGGCCATAATTCGCTCGGTGTCAGACTACTTTTAAAAAAAGACAATGATTCGTACATCATTCGCGAACCGGACCTAATGTGCACATTTTGTGCAGGCCAACGAAAAGAAAGAAGGACCAATGTTGAACTTAAATAAGAACCCCATCAATAATAAATCAATGAAACACGTTCGTGATCGACCACCATGCAAAGTTCTGAGAGCTCCAGACATATCATCACCAAGCGTCGTCGACAATGAATGCCCCAGTGCTTCCCCAGATTTGTTAACATTTACTGCTTGGCGTCCGGACAGCCATGGCGTCATTGTGGACCCACACTTCTGCATGTTGAAGATTGGACTAAACTCCCTGTCATTACGTATCGGAAACGGATATAAATTTAGGATCAATCTGCGCATTTGATTGCTATGGATGAGGGGATCTCTAACCAATACTGATTA